CAAGTCGAGGGGGACAAATATTAAACACGTATAGCTCTGCTTTTGACTCAACAATAACATATAAAATATGAAATTCTTCATCAACATTAGCTCTAATTTTCTTGAGTTCTAATAAAATGCTCTCCGCTATTCTCATCTTCTTAATCAAGTCAATGTTATGTTTTTGAAAAGTATTACATAAAATAGTTGTATAATTAAATAATACATTCTAATGAGAAAAAAAATTTGGAATAAGTATTGAATCCAATAAATTTCTTGCTTCTGAGGAAATATTTCTTTCAAGCCATTGTGATATTTCAGTAATAGCATTAATAATCGGCTCTTCTAACTCCATAATAGCTGTTCGATCTCGTTGGACAAGCTTGCAATTTCTTTCTCCCTGTTGGACAAGGAGTTTCAGAGATAATTATTATTTGACTAGAAATTTAGATAAATATTAAGCCACTAAAATTTGAAAATAATAGGTAAATTACGCCAAGGAATACTTGAAATCGAAATTAATTGATAAAATAACTTAGTAGATGAATGTGATAAATAAATGTAATTAAATATATATATATAAATGAAATAGGAATAAATATTAATAAATATAAATTAATATTAACAATAATATTTTTGATAAATATAATCCGGCATCTAAATTGGCTTGGGGGGGGGGGGGGGGGGTGGATTCGTCCCCCTGCCCCCCCCCGCTGCGTACGCCAAATGATATATAAATATATTGTAGTTTAGTATTGTTGTTATATGATATATTAATTTTTTTTGTGATTCATATTATTTTCTTATTGGATATAATGATATTGCATATATGTAGTTTTAACAGTGATAATTATAAAGATATAATGATATTCCATATATGTAGTTTTAATAGTGATAATTATAAATTATTATTTTTAATTCCTATTCCTATTCGTATTCTTTTATTTTGTTTGTGGTCAATTATTTGTTTTATAATTGAAAATTAAGAAAGGAAAAAATAATTGTAAAGTATTGTTGAATCCAAATTTACATGTATTGTAAAACAAGCAATATATATTAATTATTATAATTCGCATGTCGAAAGAAGACAATTCAAGATTTAAAAGTTTAATGTGCAAAGGTACGATTCGTTAAATGATGAGGAAATGAACAATGTCCTAAAAGAACGATAATTATATGGTATCTGGGCTTTTGAAGGGTGGGCGTGTTGCAAATGTTGAATTAAAGAGATTAATAATAATTGTTTATTTATTTTCAAGAAATGTCAATCAGATTATTATTCTTTTGATAATATGTTTTTATTGGAAAAATAATATTTTATCAGTATGTGATTTTTTATATGAAATGAGTCGGAGATTTTGTTAAATGAGTAGTATATCTATGAATTGGAATTATTTGATAATTGATTATTAAGATTGTATATAGAATTTTTGGATGTGAAAAATAAAATTAATAAAAGTGCAATTTTTGTGTTAAAATTTTTAATAAAACTAACAACTACACTTTATTTTTCATCTAATAAAATCCAATAGTATAATAAAAAACAATATACTTTATATTTTTTAACATCAATAAGTAACAACGGATTGACATTCTTTTAAATATAATACTATATATATCTAAGTATAAATATTTTATTATTTACATGTCCACCCAAAAAAGGCCAAGGACATGTGCACTAAATAAATGAATATAAATTTACAAAATGAATATACTAAAAATTTACCAATAAAATTTTTCAATCATCTTGTCTTAACAATTTAATCTCTTCCATTTCTGCATCTGTATATTCTTCTCCATTTTTAGTTGAGTCTCGAATTTCTTCCTGTTTCATAGAATAACTAGTATGGCCTACACTTGTAAGATCGAAATCATACCTTATCATGGACTTCTGTAAAGAATTCATGGGCCTATCTCTTAAATATAATCTATTTCCTTGATACGTCCTCGGTGACCGCACCCGATTGCTTTAATATTTAACTCGAGAATCCACTTTATTATAATCCACCAATCCCAATTTTCCTATTTTGGTCACATTATAATTATTCGAACAGCTCGGTTGATCACCATCTTCCTCACTGTAAAATTTAGGAGTACACATTTTTTTCCTTAATAGATACGCCGGTGTTTTACATTCAGCATATATGTGATCAGAACTCTGGCAACGAAAACACTTCCTGCCAGTAATATCAGATCAATTTATAAATATTAATGTTTTACAACTATCTGCCGTGGTAGATATATATATCTCTGACAACTCTGCTATTAAAGCATCTTTTAACATTCGAAATTATCCTATTATAATCATCTGTGTCTGGCGACATAAAATTGTTATACCAGGGGATAGAATTTTAATCATTGGCAGATGAATGATGGATTATCAACCAGGGACATTGGCTGAACTATATCAATTATAAAATGGACAATGACTTTATCAGACAGTTTCTGAGAAATATTGGTATGTGCAATATTATTTATCAATTTAGTTTGAACTGAATTGGTCTTTTTGGATGTAGTAACACTAACACCTATACTAAAATTATTAAGATAATTTTCAATCTCTTTAAAACTGTTGGCATGAACATTCTTATAAAATAAATACTATTAGAATTTAAAAATGACAATTACCTTTAGGTGTTTTTTGATGTTATATCTACTAGATTTATTTGAGGATATATTTTTTTTTACATTAAACAAAGTAATTTGATATTTTTCAAATTATGGAAATGTAAAATTTTTATTATTGTTATCAAGAACATTTTCTTCCTGGGCTTCCATTTCATTAATATCATCATCGTCTGACTCACTCATATCAATTTGGATATCCATTTGCGGACATTTTAAATCATTTACACCAGATGATTTAGGTTTATAATCCAAATTGAAAATAAATTACAAATCGAAAATATAAATTTCAATTTCAAAATTAATATTAAATCATAAAAATTGTAATTAATTAAGATATTTAAATTTTCATGTTTATAGTTACATTCATTATCTTTAAATAGATAAGTAGCGTTAACGCTAAAAAAAAGAAATAATTGGAACGCGCAGCATTCTACTTTATCAACTCTGCTGGACACTATGCTACTAAAAATATAGATTATAGTTTAATTTATTCATAAAAATATAGTTAAAACTAAACTAGTAACATTTTTTTTTTGAAAAACAATGAAAAAAAAATAAAATTTTTGCTTAAATTTCTAAAATGTTAAAAAAATAGAATAAAAATTAATTATTACATAATGCGCCATCTAGTGGATATATATATATTATATATATTTTTATCAATTGTTAATAATTAATAATAATATAAAGATTTTAATATTTTAAATATAAAATTGGATAGAAAATAAAAAATATATAATATATGCATTTATTTTATAACCAATAAGATGGAATGTTTATACATAATTTTATAGTTACTATGTTACGACTTTAAATATAAGCAAAATATCTTGTTATATTTAATCTACATAATAATTTTAAGTAAATTAAAAAATCTAAATCTAAAAAACTAAAACACGATTTTTGAATAGGGTTGCTTAGGCGACCTACACCATATTAAATTTAATTTAGAAATTGTCATACTATTCGAACTTTGATTGAACGCGTTCGCTAACATCATTCTTTCGCATATTCAGGAATAATTTTGGAAAAAGGGTTAGGATTTGTAGATCATAAAAAATATTGACTTATAATAATTATACAATTTATTTTTTTATATACTACATTAAAAATTAATTTATATTTTTAATGTTTTACTTAATCGCGTAGCCCTTAATATCATTTATAAATATTATTATCGACACTACAAAACATAAGCGTATCAGTGATTTTGTTAGGGGAAGGGGCCTATTAGGTCGGTTTTCCACCATAAATTTTATTGGAGATCTTTAGGGCCACAATTTATTTAATTTATAAATATAAAAATAAGAATATATATCAATGATTAATTTTAATATGAACAATATTTTACTTTTTTTTACTTAAGCCGCACAATTAATATATTTTCAAAATTTGTCTCACTCAAATTACATCTATAAGGAGATAATATAAATTTAATTGTTGAAAAACATCTTTACACACTAACTTTGGTAGCTTGCCAATATGATATCAGATTTGATGTGTCATTTATAATATACCCCATAAAGTGAACAAAATATACAAACAATAATTTAAAAGAAATAAGTAAAAGTTAATAATACTACATAATTATTATTTAATATGTAAACTGGTCGACTAAAACAAATAAGCCTAAAGCCCTTCAATAAAATTTATGGTAAAAAACTCACTTGAGTCCACCCCCCCTCCATTTTTTATGAAAATTCTGGGCACGATTATCTAGAAACAGGCTTGTAAACTTTAGCAGAATATATGAATCTTCAAAATATGGAAATGATATTTTCTTCAATGGGATTAAAAAAGTAATTTTAGTGTCTAATGTTAACTTACTACATGATATTATAAAAGATACATGGAAAATATAACTAGTTTGTGAGTTATAGACAGAAATTGAGTGTAATTTTTTATTTTTTAATCGATAAGATATAATAATAATATAATCTTTTGTTTTAGTATTATAAACATCCATTATTAAAAGCATGTTCTACATTTGTATATCTAATTTTTTATTTGACTGCCTTAACATAAATTAAGCTCAAAATATAATCTTAGATTTTTTGAGGGAGGGGGGGGGATGTGGCACAGAATATCATTTTTTTAACTGAATATAGCTATTATCTTCATATATTTATATTTCAGTGTGAGTATAAATTTTAGAATTTGCTATATATAGTACTATATTGAAGTAGTAGAAACAAGTAATAAAATAATTTTATTATTCTGTATTTATGCAAAATTAATTATATGTTTCTTGTTTTGTCTAAGGTTTTTTTACAATATATCCAAATACAATACATTATATCCAAGGATTATGCTATAGAACATTAAATTCGTATAAAATAAATAAATAAATATATTAGTTAATATAAATTTTTTTATAAACTATTTTAACGCGAATGGCTATTTGTAAGTTAAAAAAAATATTCTAAATGTTTTACAATGACGGAAAAATGATCCCTTTGAAAAATAGGCGCATATATTAAAAAAAAATTTTTTTTTGTATATAAACTCTTTCAAATGTATTTCTCTAAAATGTTCTTTTATGACTAAAATTAATAAAAACAAATTCAATCAACCTTTCGAAAAATATAAGGCAATATATGATAATAAATATGATAAATATTGCCTCAAGAATCTAAAATAATGTATATATGAGGTTAATATAATGTTTGCTCAATATAGATTTTAATACCCATAATAAGGACGGAATGGCAAAAATTAATTTGATCTTTTTTATGAGTTGGGGGGAAAAAAGGTTAAAAAAGGTAGACATAAATATAATAATAAATTATTTAAAATACTTTAAATATAAAATTAAGTATTTTTTTCTTTTATGATGTAAGTATTTTTGTAAAATATATATTTCGTGACCTAGAGTGATAACTCAGTCAATGAAAGGCTTCTTATATAAAAGGTTTTTCATTTATATACACAAAGTTTATTTTATAAACATGAAACGAAGACAAATTAAAAAAACAGAAATAATACAATTCTCTTTTCATTTACTATACTTAACCATGATTTCTCGCTCATTTACTAAACTTAACCATGATTTCTCTCTCATTTTTATGATCGATAATATTTTCGTCACTGTTCTGATGTATCTTGTCATAATTCAACTTTCCATTTGTGGTACTTAATGATTTGCTCAATTTACCAAAAGAGGGGGAGGAGAACTGGGGCACCATAAACATTTGCGCTAATAATTGCTGTTTGTTATTATTATTGCTCGAACTAGATGTGGATAACTTTTTATCACTAACGCTGGCCTTCAAATTCGGTTTATTATCCTTGAATTTAGAAGGCAGTGCTTGGCCTCTTGCTTGGTTTAGCGAACCGTTTTTACTATCGCAATCTTTTGGTGATGACGTGGTTATTTGTGCGTGGGAAGATCTGCCAGTTAGGTTGGATAGTTTTGTTCTGAACGAGTGTGTAGAAGTTGTATTGACTGGGTTTTCAGCTTTTTCATCGATATTCGATAAAATAATATATGTTATGCATTTGAAGAAAAAATCTTTTCCAAAAACTCGAAACTAAAGAATAAATAAAACTATAATGGGCCGGATCTGGGGAAAAAAATTTCTGGCTCAGCAATTTGTGCGAAAATTTTTAATGGACAGAAGAATATCTTTGCAGATCTCTAACATACATATCATTTTTCGATAAAAGAAAAATAAGGAGTATTTTAATACAAATAGAAACTTATGTTATGAGAGCAAAAAATATGCAAACAATATTTTTTAAATATTCTATGCTTATCAATTAGACAATGATGTTGGTTGGAATTGAAACGGGATAAAAGATAAAAAAAATATTTAATGCCCTTCATAATATGAATTTCTGTTGGGAAAAACGGAAAACACCAGAGTTGTTAAAAGATACTTTTTATATGGGTCTAGATACAGAAACATTGAAACGTACCTAGATAAAGATACAATTTTTATTATACTTATATACAGGGTTCGAATTGTTCTCGGACAGAAACTGTTATTATGAGAGCATAAAATACCATTATAATATTTTGTACTATTCAATTGAAATACCAGATAAAAAATGTCAATACCCTTATTTTTATAGTTCTTTCGAGCAAATTCTCTTAGAACGATCAATTAAATTTTTTTTTACATTAAACTTAATTTACTCATTAACAGTTAGAGGAATATCTATAAAATTATTTTTAAAAATTCTAAATAAATTTATTTGCTTTAAATAATTTTGTGCATCAATGATATTGTTTTTAATAATAAATGAGGGTCATGGCTAAGCAAAGATTTATATATTTCTTTACATGGTAAAAATATCCTTCACAAAAAAATAATAATATTTAATGAATATTTACATATTTTTTTTTATAGCCTATATATTTTTTAATATATATTTATTAAAATTATATGCTCATATGAGATAAAATGAAATTTGCATTCAAATTATTTTTAAGATAAAAAAGCATTAAATAAATGTATCTGAAAAAGTATCTGTTGAATTTTGACCGACGGGTCCCACCGTCAGAGTGGGGAGAACACTGTCCGTGTTCGGGGGTCCGGGATGGTCGATGATGGAATCCTGGGGACCGTGTTAGGGTAAAGTTTTAGTCAAGGTATCACGCGGACAACGTAGTGTAATTAAGGTAAAACAAATTTATTTTAATAGTTACAAAAAAAGAAATTAATAAAATCATTCATAAAAAAAATCACCAATCAAAATTTCATTTTTCGTGGTCTTTATATAGATAAATTAAATTATAAAAAAAAGGAATGTTAATAAATTCAGGCCCATCTCGAAAAGTGGCTAGACCAGTTTTGAGGATGAAATCAAAACAGGCTTGGTATACGTGAACAAAGAAAAAAAGGATATACATGATAATGAGAAAAACACATCACTTCTAATTGAACAAAGAAAACAAAAATATAAATGGTAATATAAAAACATATCACTAGAACAAAGACATAATAACTAATATAAGTTAAAACACAACAGTATCCAAAACAGATACAAATAGCTCTACAATAGTATCTAGATACAGATACCTTTTATAAAAGTGTTTAACAACTCTGGAAAACACTATAAGTTTATCCATAAAACAAAAAATAATTAAATTTATATTTTTGCTTAAATTAATTGGGTAAGAAGAAGATAGAGTAAAAGCTTAGTGACAAAATAAGGGCCATTGATTAATATATTAGTGATCTGCATCGGGCCTAATTTTTCAAGCCCAACCCAGCCCAGAATTTTTTTTAAAAAAATTTACCGGCCCTTCCCGAATTTATTTAAATATAAAAATCATAGTTACTCAAAATAAATGATATATGTTATATGGCGTCTTGTTTCTATAAATAAAATCTAATATTTTTATTTTACATTAAAAATTCAAAATAAAATTGATAAATTTATATATATTAAAAAAAAATTCAAATATTCCAAAGCTCGACCCGTCCCGAATTTTTAAAAAAAATATAAGGCCCGGCCCAGTCCAAACCCGATTCCTTTAAAAAAAATAGCCAAGCCAGGCCTGAAGCCCGTTCTTTTGCAGATCTACATAATATATAACCATATTTTAAGATTACGATAGAGAGAAAACATATCAATAAGACTATAAAATGCAAAATTTTGGAAAAACATAGAGGTTTTTTTAATATTTTATTAAATAATTTATTATATCTTAAATCTAACTATTATTACAAACTAAAATTTGGTATAAAATTTATTTATTTTTACAAAATAAAAATTTGAATGATAGTTTAGAATAAGAAATATCATGTTTTAATTTATTAAATTCATAAAAGTTGTATTGAAAAAATTGGTAGGGAGGAAAATATGATTGACCCAGATTTTGAAGATATGAGTCGAAATCAACTTTACAAAAATCAAACAATCAGGATGCCTTATTAAACAAATTATAATGATAGGAATATACACCGTTTGGCCTAATCATTTTGCTTTTCGAATGTTTGAATATATGAAAATAAATTTATCCCTCTATTGCGCACATCACATTTAAGTAAACATGCCATCAAATACTTATTAAATTTGTCGGTAAAATATTACAAGCGATATTTCGAAAATGAAATGATAGAGAAAACAATATATACATTAAAAAAAATGTGAATTAGATCATCTATGATTAATAATGACATATTTATTCACGTCTGGCATTTTTATTTTCGAAAATCGACACTTTTTGTATGGAACATATAAAATAAATGCTTATATTTATCATTACGACAAAATAACAAAAAATTTATTAATAATGATTTATAATTTTTTATTTTATAGTTTAGTAGTATAAAGAGTAGGGAAATAAGTTTTGATCATTTACTAAGTTTTTCCAGTGAACATGTAAGGATTATATTTATACATTATTAAGCACGAATAAAGTTGTGGTGTTTTAGATGTTCAACGCATACAAATCTTAATTGCATAAAAACTAGATAATATATCTATTTAATACCGAAAATGTTATTCGTATTTTCGATGGAAGCTGGAGGAGGGAAAAAGTTGAAACATTCTAAGCTCTCAACTTTTTGGATTAGTGCGAATTTTTGTTGGATCGCCGTTTTAAGCATGGCGTTTAGCGTCTTCCTCTCCGATTCCAAAAACTCGCCTTTCCTTTCCAAGTCTTCCGAGGAGCGGGTTAAATCCCGGATCTCTTTCCTTGAAGCGGATAACTGGCCAGCTAGTGTTAAACAGTCCTCCTTGTAGACCGCGAGCTCTCGCTTATAACGGGCAAGTGTTTCGGAAACTACCTAACGTGTTCAGAAATTTGAAGAATAAAATTATAAGGGACAAAGAGCACTATAAGCTGGCCGGATAAGGACTGGGCCTAAAATTTAAAAATTGGGATCCAGGCTTGGGGGATATTTCATTTATTTCTCCTACATTTTCTTATAAATCAAATTTTTCTTACTTTTCCCATTGCTTTTACCCTCAATGTTTTTTTGTGGTTTTAATAAAATTTGAATGCGAAACCTTCAGGGCCTATTCATATCAAATCAAACACTACATGAGAGACTCAGTGTATATTTTAATTTTAAGGGAAGAAAGTTAAAATAAATTGATAATTAAGGATAAAATATGATGCATATTTTATACTAAGTTCTAGTCTCCATTTCTAATATTAATTTAATCTAATTTTTCAATTATAACTATCTATATGTGGCCCCTTTTTAGCACTTTATGTACCGCCCTTAAGCAATTCCTAAATAAGGTATGCTGTCCTGTGACAGTTCCCTCCCAGCAACCCTAATCATCTTAAAGCTTAATCGATACCGATAATACTTACAACGTTGAGTAGATGGGCTAAATTTAAAGTGATGTATATAACACAGGATCACCCAATAGTGGGAGGGGGGGAGTGTTAGTGTAGTAGATTAGTGTTTATAGTAGGGCCAGTAATTTGCAATACTGTCATGTTTTAATTTTAGAGGTATAACCATATCTCAATTAGTCAGATAAAAAAGAGAAAAGGGTAGAGAAATGGCATTTTTAATCAATCAGCTGATCCCAAATCTAAAATAAGCCATTAATTAATGTTTTTAAGGGTTCTAAATGTTTCTTCAAATATAACATTCTATTATTGGCATTTCTTCGGCTGATTATTATAGTGTTCTATATCTATTTTAAAAAACTTGTTTAAGGGGAGCATTTAAAAAATATAAATATTTTTGTATTTTAGATAGGATATCACAAGGTAATATTTACAAATAATGGATCATTCTAAATTTTTATTGTGGAATATAAGAATTCATTTTTCAATGTGATACTCAGACGACGATTTATGAAGCTAAATTGAAATTTAAAATGATATAAAGTGTAATTCGATTCTAGAGGTAAATCATGTTCAACCGCCGCTTATATGGGATCAATATTAAAAAGAATTTACCCTTCTTTCCTCGCAGTATTTGGCCTGCATACGCGAAAAACACACTTCGGCTGTTGATTTATACGATGCTAAGACCTCTCTATAGTGGGCATTTTTGGAACGTTTGTTGACTAATGCCGCTTTGAGTCTTTGTATTTCCCTTTTTCGTTATATATTTGTTTAAAGATATCAAAATTGAATATATTAATCTTTGTTAGGTCACGTGTTGTTAAATGTAACGAGTTGAGCCCATTTTTAAAAATGGCTAACACAATATTTTATCCAGTAAAATATTATTTAAGCCTAAAAATTTTGGGTCATAGATAGCACAAAGATTGGACATCTATTCGAAATCTCGAGGCTAAGACAATATTTTTATAGCTAAAATATTGAGTTAGCCGTTTTCAAAAATAGGCTCAAATCGAGAAGTTTAACAATACCAGGCCACACTCTATATCTCTATCCATGGAGCAATTAGAGGCACCTTCTCACGATTTTTTTTGAATTTTTTCTTTTTTAATATATCCTTATTTATCTTTTAAATATATTTTATTTTAATATAGTTTATATTGTATCTTATTCTTATTTTATAAATTGAAATCGTTCTTAAATAAAAAAAATTTGATATCTTTAAAAAATAAAGCATTCTATTCAATAAAACAGCTAATATACCTTTTTTAAAAAAAATAATATTAATTTTGGCATAAGGTCAACGAGTTTTTGTTATTCAAAGAATTTGAGGCAAATTTTTTTGTGAAACTTTTTATTTATTTTTTTAATAGTTTATATAGAAGCATAATTGTTGAATTGATGTTTTTTAAAGTATAATATTTATATTAATTTTTTTTATTATGTTTTCTTTTAAATAACAAAAAATAAGAATGGGCTATAATAGGAATGATGGAAAATCAGTTTTATATTCTAAAAATCTTAAATTAAAAATATTTAATGTATAGAATTACAATGAAAAACACGAAAATATGGCATATAAAATGAACAAAAATATAAATCATTTACAACATTAATAACCTAAGCAAGGATGCCTCCTTTTCCCCTTCCCTGTCATTGAATTCGAGATCGATATTTCCGTTGATTGAGATCTTATCATCATTTGCTTCTGGATGATGTAGAGTGTTTGCAACGATAGAAGGGAAAAGTTGGTTGGTGAGCAAAGAACCCAATCTTTCGCAATAAATTTTGACTTCCAAAGCTGGGGACAATTCAGCTGCATTTGAATCTTGATCTGCTATATTTGTGGTCACGGCTGTTAAAATACGTGAAGAAAGATTGATTGTTAGAGATATAGAGGGGAACTCCAATAAATAATTTTAAAACTATACCCGAAATAGTTCCTTAAAAAAATCAGAGACCTACAGGCCTAGTTCTAAGCCTGAATCTTTAAAACCGGACCGGGCCTAAAAAATTTTTTTAAAATACCCAGGCCAAGCCATATAATTTTAAACCAAACATTTTAAATCGCCATTATATGCTATAAAAATTAAAAATATATTTTATAAAAAATCCGAGCCAGGCCTGAAAATTTTTATTTTTTTCAAAATCCGAGCCGGGACATACAAATGGTACCTCTGCAAGCCTCTGAAAAAAATACAAAAAGTTTTAATAATTATATATCCATTCTTTTTAACATAGTATCGAAATCTATTTTTTAAAGTATAACGATGATTTATACACTATATATTTACGTTTAGAGGAGTTGTAAATATCATCGTTGTCATAGTTTTCTCCGTTATGTTTAGTTTTGGCCTTGAAATGGGAATGGTTAAGCACTATACGCTGAGTTTGATCTAATACAGGGGAAAGGGTGTTGTCGGTTATTGTTTTGAGAATTCGGTTGAGTTCAACTACGAGTCTTTGTTTGGCCAAAAGTTCGACTTCCAACCTGTCCACAATACGGTCATCCTAATTCATAAAAGATTGAATATAATTTTTATAAAAAAAATAATCAAAATAAAAAATAGCTTAATTAAAAGGTCATGGGCTTAACATTTAAAAGAACAGGTTGATACGATATAAAACAAGGGTAACGAATAAAAGATGAAATAATTTTCCTAGAGGAACATATTTAAAAACCAAGATCTAGTTTTAAAACTCTAAGGTCAATCTTCCAGAGTCTCAATTATGTTTCCTAACAATCTTCGCGTTTTTAAAATGCCACCCCTAATTTAACCTTATTTCTCTCTCCATCCGATGATGCTTTGGAGAGCAAGGTTTCGTTTTCTTTTTCCTTCTCTTTCAAGAGTAGAGTTTGGATTTTGGTGACGAGGGCCTCCTTTTCTCGTTTTAGGGCTTCTAGCTCTTCTCTCAAATTATTTATCTCGGCCGATTTCATCTCGGAAAATAGGTCGGAACCTTTGATATTAAGGCATATTTTTGAATATTAATTTTTTTTAATTTTTTTTGATATACAGAATAACCTGTCTAATTTGGGCACCGTTGAGAACAAGATTTTTTTTCTAACTTAAGACAGTTGCGATATTTATCAATACTAATAGTAGTTAATAAAGAATTTGATTAAGACTCAAAATTTTGATCAAATTAGAGTTATCCGAATTATCTAGAGACCAAATCAGACAAGTTTTACAGTATTTGTTTGTTTCTTTCTGAATTTGTTCCAAAATAGTAATTATATTTACTATAATGAGGAAATTTTGAATAACTAATGAAAGCCCATAATGAAACTACTACATTACTACGTAACTACGTAGTACATACATATGTCTGCAATTTAGCAAAAAATTTGCTCGAAATGATAAGTTAAATATCGAATGTATAAAAAAGGATTATCTTTTTTTAAGCAACATTTCATTTTATAACAAAAAAATATGAATTAAAATTTCCAACATAATCCATTTATTCAAGGCGCATTACCAGCCCCAGTTCCATTTGCACTAAGATCTACGTCGCAGACGAGACAAGTGTTATCGGAAGCCTGCATGGAAGAGTCATAGTCGCCATTGATGTTGGCGTTGGAATGCATGAGCGTTTTCAGAAGTTCAGCATTGGTCGATATATTGAGGTATTCCTCGTAATCAGAAGCCAGGAGTTGGTGTTCTGAAAACAATTAGGGGGATATGAATTAAAGATTTGAACCTAATTATTAAAAAGAATCATTTGTTTTCTTTCTCTCTCCTAACAACCCCTCAATGCCTTTATGAGAAAGATTTCGTTGCAAAACATTGCAATACCGTTTATTCCGTTCTCGTTATTTCGATCGTTATTAAAATCTATTCGCCCACCCCGGTTTTTATTCCATCTGTAATCTTCTATTTCGCGTTTAGCGGATCGAAGCGATCGTTTTTCCCTCTCCAGAAGCTCGGATGTTTCGTCTAACTTTAAAATAAAATTTAAAAAAATTAAAGTTAAATTATTGTTCCCCTCAAAAAATAAGGATGGAGAAACAAAAACAAATCAAATTTAGAATTTTTATTCTTCAACTGTTTTTTGAGTTACTAGAATTCGAGTCCTCGCATAATAAATTTTCGGCCAGAACCTGATGATCTAAAAAAACATTAGACTGACTAAAAATATATATGGAATTAGAAAATACATCTCAAACAAGCAAAAAATGTCTCGTTATTTGGCTCCACCTGTTTTCTATTTTATTACTAAATTCATTTATGTCAGTTTACATTTTTTAGATAGATTTTGGGAGTTATACTTTTTATCTGTTTTAAATGTCAAAATAAATTAATAAAATCATTCTAAGAGGCTTTTACGAGAAAGTGTGTCGAGCTAATCCAAATATTTTGGGCAAAAGCATTTTGATATTTATAATTTCAGTCAGGTTGCCATCTTACTTTTAACCCTCCCTATAGATCTGTATCGAGCTGAATTTTTCGACACGGTCCATTTTTTTATTTGTTCCAAAAAGGCCCAACATAAATAAAAATTACCTACCCGACAGACTGGATATATTTAAAATTAAATATAAAAGAGTTTAAAAATTCTAATTATCAATTTTTTTTTAAAAAAATTTAAATAAAATGTAATATTTACTTAAATTAATATATATGTTGTATTCCATATCAAATCAACTGAAGATTCAACCCGACTCGATTTTTTTTAAAATTTGCATGATGGTAGTATATACACTAACTAGAAATAATATAAAATTTTAATTCTCAACTCAGCTTACTTCATGAGATATGGCCATCTTTAGAAACGCGAAAAGTTCAAAATACACCATATTTAATTTTAAATATCTCAAAAAGTAATTAAGCTAAAGGTATAATTAAAACTTTATTAAATAACTCTAGAATAGCCCTTTAATATGATATAAAATTTATTATATTAAAAATAATTTTATTACCAAAAACCGGAAATAGAAAACCAGAAATGGTTATAAAATAAAAATTGCCCTTTTTTTTCTTTCAAAATTTTTTAACAAATAGACATTATATATCTTAATATTTGTACAAAATCCTAGATTGGGACCATTACTGGGACAATAGTTATTACGCTTTAAATATAAATAGTATGGCTATTCTATATTATACGAAATGATTAATTATTTTTTTAACAAAAGTGATAATAGTATTAAAACTGAAATCCGAACCCCATCTTAAGATTTATATTCGTCGTCGTCGTCCCCCCCCCCCAAAAAAAAAATTTCTTCTTAAATTCGAGATTTTTGACCTGGCAATTCTATGAGTGAATTATGTAGATTATTTTCCGGATAAAAAATTATCTTTGTGATCGTCAGAAATATATTTTCAAGATTATTTTCTACTTATAATTAATTGTCAAATAAAATAATTATCATAAAAATCAAATTCAATTCCAACAGCAACAGCCGTCATTTTTATTGATTAATTTTATAAAGCCATTTTTCTAAGAAAATTAAATTATCGATATTCATTTCATTATCCAATTTATTTTTAATTTATAAGAAAATTAAATTATCGATATTCATTTCATTATCCAATTTATTTTTAATTTAAAATAATTATATAAAATTAATAGCTATCTTTTATTCCTTACCAAAAAAATTTAAATGTCTAGAAAAGTTATTTCTATTCAAGTAAAGTGCTGTAATCCCTTTAGAATAAAATCTCATTCAGTACGTTACGATCTTAGAAATGTTTTACAATGGATGATAGAAGTGAATTCTAGCTTATCAATTAATCAAAAAATTTTTAGCTCTTGCCGGAAAAAATTAAAAAATATTCAACAAATCTGATCTCACCTTTTACTTCTACGATCCCGATCACATTACCTTCTATTTCTAACTTACCTTCTACCTCAACTATTAATGAAACATTTAGCGATTCTGAACCTGATCAACGACTCTTATACAGATTTTAATACTTCAATTTCAACTTTAAATGAAACTTTGCCATTTTTAGGGGAGACACCTATTAAAAAGAAAATGTTAAATGAAAAAAAATATCCTGTAAATAAATTTTTGAAAATTCAGGGAAAAATTAAAAAAATTTTAAAATAAATCTAGAGGATCAAGCAAAAAAAGATGAAGCCGAAATCATAAATCAACTGTGAGAAAAATTTGCTACAAGTTCTCGCAATGAAAAAATACAAATTTTAACAGTTTTACCAAAATCTTGGACTCTTGATAAAATTGAAAAGGAATTTTCAACCACAAATTTTATGGCCCGGACAGCTAAACAATTAGTTGAAGAAAAGGGTGTTTTGTCAAACCCAAATATCATAAAACCAAGTAGAATAATTCCGGATGACATTGCAAATAAAGTAATAGAATTTTATAATTCTGACGAAAACAGCAGACTTATGCCAGGTATGAATAATTTTATATCAATGAAAGTTAATGGAAAAAGGAACCAAGCCATTTGATATTCATGTAATATAAATAATTAGCTAAATAAAGTTATAAATATTTTTGCAATTATTTTCTCTCTAAAATAAAATCGCTAAACTTATATGCTAAATATGACTTAATGTCTACTAGTGGGCTCACAGCCCGAAACATTTATAAAAAAAATATAATCGGCCCGATCATAAAGGAATTATCTTTTTATTTGTTTCGTAAATTACTATATATTTGGTATAATTTAGGATTTAAGCCATACTATTTATATTTAAAGCGTAATAACTATTGGCCCAGTAATGGTCCCAATCTAAAATTTTGTACAAGTATTAAGAAGTATAATGTCTATTTGTAAAAAAAATTTGAAAGAAAAAAAAAGAGTAATTTTTATTTTATAGCTATTTCCGGTTTTTGGTAATAGACTTTTTATTAATAAAATCATTTTTATATCATATTAAAGGGCTATTCTAGAGCTATTTAATAAAATTTAAATAATGCCTTCAGCTTAATTACTTTTTGAGATATTTAAAATTAAATATACTGTATTTTGGAATTTTCGCGTTTCTAAAGATGGCCATATCTCATGAAGTAAGCTGATTTGAAAAGTAAAATTTTACATTTTTATTAGTTAGTGTATATACTACCAACATACAAATTTTTAAAAAAATCGAAGGGGGTCGAGATGAGAATCGACTTTTTTGGTTGATTTAATATGGAATACAACATATATATTACAAAAAATAAAAATTGGCGTCAAATATTTATTTTAAAATATTATCAATTTTATTTGACAAATTTGAATCATATTAAATTTTCAAAAATTTAAGCCCAACCCGAACCGATTTTTTCTTTGCATCCCTATTCCTTCTCCTTTTCTACAGATCTTTTCCAGCTATCATATTCTTTTAAAGAACATTTTCACCTTGCTTAATTATTTGAACCCAAAACCAGGGTTTAACAAGAGTTTTCGCACAAATATCTTTAAACATTTTTTTTATAAAAAAAATAATTGGAATTTTAAGATAAAATTTGATTGAAAATCTTGTTTGAGCGATCTTTAAAAAATCTACCGAGATCTAAATCTTCGAAGAATATTCATTTATAAAGCAAATGCTAAACTCAGCCTAAAACAATTCAAATTTTTATCTTGCAATAAATGTACCTTCTATTTTCTTTTTCTAAGCATAAAAATAACTAAAAACTTGTTTCTTCAAAATATTTTTCATGGATTCGGTGTCTTCCAACTTCTGGGCTTGAATGAATTTCTGTTCCTTGAAATTTTCCAATTCGATTTTCAAAGACTCCACCTCCATTTGGTTGACCCTGAGAGCTACGACCTTACATGAAAGAGTGGATAAAAAAAAAGAAAGTAAAAATATAATGAAATATCCCCCCCCCCCCAGTAATATTCAAACTTGCTTTTGCAGAGCTAGATTTTCGTCCTCCAACTCAGACATATCTATCAGAAGCTTGCTCTCCCTCTTTTCCGAATTCCTCAACTTGTCAATCATTTTAGCCCTTTCTTCGACATTCTCCTTGCTTTCATTATTGAAACGATCCGACAATTGCTCGTATTCTTCGTTCTCTTTGTTTAGTCTATTTTTCCCCACGTTCAAAAATAAATATAATTATAGATTATTATAAGATTGAGATAGCTTAGATTAGAATTGGAAAAAAGGATATCAAGTAAAGATAGTGTGTAATACGAAAAATTCTGTTTGATTTTCCCGGATTACTCTGCCGATGGTATTGTTTTTGCCATTATTTTTTCTCAAACAAACAAAAAATCTTAGAAAAAAATGTTAACGTTCGAAGTATGATTTGATGTTATCCATCAAAAATGGCATGCGTGAAGCATGTGAATGCTCCGCCCCTTTGAATTATTCCCTCACTCCGAACTCATTCTTATAAAATATCACTCAGGGCCATCGCTATATGAAATCTACCTATCTCTTTCGCTCTTGACCACTTTAAGCTGATCGCAAAGACCCTTTATATGTTCATTCAAGTCCTTGATGGTAAGAGTATTGTGTTCCAGCCTATTTTCTTCTTCCGAGAACGATTCCTGAGTCTGTTTCAACTGGGTAAATTGAGCCCTGCGTAGCGCCTTTTTTATAAAAACAATAATAATTTTTTCAAATGTATATCCGGCAAAAGAAATAAATATATAATTTTAAGCCTATCCCCTAACCTCATGAGTCCTTTTTTCTTTCTTTAAGAAAGAAAGATTGACAGGTTGTTTCCAACCGGACATAATATGGATATTAAAAAAACGTGGCTTAAACCTGATTGCAAAAAAAGTCTAAGAGGATCGAAGATACTTTTAAAAAATCAGTCTGGATAATGCTGTTAAACGGCTTGATTTTTAAAAAATGGATAACCCAATATTTCAGAAAAAAATATTAGGCACGCCTGAAGATTTTGCTCGTAGAAGACAGGAAGGTTTAAAATTTTTAAATTAAAATATAGGGTTAGCCGTTATTTAAAATAGAGTTGCTTAGCAACATCCGGTCTGGCGGCGACCTCCACCTACGCATACTTTGACCAATCATAGATCCTTAACTTTAACCCTCTCCCCAACAACTAAGAATTAAACTTTTTTCATAAAAATTATAATTTAATTTTTTCCCCTTAGTTTATTAGTTTACCCTAGTGATCTGCATCGGGCCTAATTTTTCAAGCCCGGCCCAAACCTTAAATTTTTTAAAAAAGTTTTGCCGGCCCGGCCCGAACCCTAAATTTATTTTAAAAAATTTACCGGCCGGGTCAGGCCCGAATTTATTTAAATAGAGAAATTAATTTTTATAATTACTTAAAATAAAAGACATATGTTATATAGCGTTTAGTTTCAATAAATTAAATCAAAATTTTTTATTTTACATAAAAAATTTAATATAATATTGATAAATTTAGATATATTTAATAAAATTTCCAAGGTCCGACCCGACCCGGCCCGAATTTTTTTTTTAAATAAACTTTGCAGATCTCTATATTACCCTCCAAAAAATATATTTCTTACAATTTAAAACGAAAAACATATTGTTTTAATTAATTAAACGTTTTTTTGCAAATAGATAAATTTTTAGAAATATATAGAATTCGAGTTGGCATCAAAAGAGTGATGAACTTCCTACCCCTCTTTAACATTCTTTTTTTATATATTAAACTTCCGCCTAAAATCGTATAATATTTATTCTTAATTCAAATCAATTTTTTTAATTATAGGGGGAAAAAAACTTTTTCTGACTCTTCAAAACCATGTGTTCGGAAACATTCCACAAGATGGAAAGAATTGGAGAAAAAGGCTATTTAAAAAAATTTTCACCCTTTTTTTCATTTTTTGAAAGGAAGGATGAATAAAAACCCAATCATATTAAGAAATTTTTTAAAAACCTATCCTGATAAGAATACGGATATTATGATAGTTCCCCGTAAATTTAATTTTTTGGCCTAACCCCAATTTTTATTTCAAGTCTGAGCTCGACCCAGGATGCATGTTTTTTCTTCAAAATATTAAATGATTATTTTTGAAAACCTTTTCGAATACTCGTAAAAAATGTTTAAATTTTCATTTTTTGTTTTTTAAAATAATAATTTTTTTAAAAAAAAATTTCGCTGTAAACGTAATAACAAGCAAAAATTCCATTTATTCGCCACGGAAAGCGCTTATAATTCAAAACATATTAATAAATTTTTTTCAAAACACAATATTTTTATTATAATATAAATGATTTCAAAATTATGTAATTTTCTAGGGGTTAGACTAACATCCTTCATTTATTACCATAAAGATTGTACGATAAAAAAAAACATTTTGAATGAATATAATTTTATTTTTTTGTTTGTTTGTTTGTAATAATAATAAGGTCATATCCTGGGTTTGACTATTACTAAACAGCCGGCTGTTTAGCTAGCTATTTAGCTTACTCTAAACTGGCCAAAAATGAAAGCAAAAAAATACGAAAAATCACAATGCCACCAAACACTTAAAACAAACCAAAATAGGGTGTCCTAATTCAAAAGCTGTTTAGTCTTAGGTAAAATAACGTTAAATATCATAATTAAATTGGAACAGGGCATAGCCAAAATAATTATTTTAGGAACTCCCTTTAAGAAATAAGGCAGTGCTGGCTAAATAGATTTTGAACTAGGACACTAATTTTGTACATTAAATAAATATTATTATTTTTTATTTATATATCTTTTCGGTATAAATAAATAATCTTTTAGACAGGGCATTGAGCCGTACCGCGAAACCGGAATCAACCGTTATCTGAAACATATCTGTAACCGAACAGTTTAAAGGAAATATAGAAAGAACGAACCGAAGTGTTATAAATATTTTGAACCGGGTCAATTTGAAATTTTAAATTTCCCTGGGAGCAATTTAAATTCGTGATTTCCTTTCAAATAAAAAAATTTTTTGTGAAATTAAATCGCCTTTATTTTCATATCAATCAATACCAAGATTTATTGTTTTAACTTTATATACTCAATTTAATAGAGATAAGGCAAATTACTAGTTAATTAAATAATAAATAATCTTTATTGTTAAATTAAATAAGGTATTATAAAAATATAAATTAAAAAGATTTTTCTCTAAGATTAATATCTATGGTTTGATTAGTTTTTTTAAAAATCAAATTTATAAAAACCAGAACGAACCATTATAAATTTCAACCCAAACCGAAATAAATTTCTTCAAAAATAACAGAAAACGAATCTTTATAAAATTTTAGACTAAAAACTGAAACAAACCGAACAGCTATACTTAACGGTTCGAAGCCCTGTTTTAGTTAAATCTAAATAGCCGCTTTCTTTTTAATGTTTAGAGAAAGCTATACAAAGGCTAGGGGAGGGGGTGGTGATAATTTATATATATAATATTTTTAGTCATAGTGTCATTTTTTAAATACATAGTGCCTTTTTGCTATCCTCTAGTAATTTTATTTTTAAAAGACACACACTTAAAAGAACGTTTTAATTGAAATACACTACCAAGTAGCGTTGTTAAGCGGTCTGATTTGGTTAAATAACAGCTCGATTAAGATTTTAACCAAAATAATATTATGTAAGCCTGGAGATTTTGCTCATAGATGACAGAAAGGTTTGAACCTCTATATGCCATATCTCGAGACTTACATAATTATATTTTGGCTAGCATCCTAATCGGGCCGTTTATACAAGCACCACTACCAGGATTGATGAATTTATTTATGGTAATAAGAGATTTTTTTTGAGAATGCTCAAACAGAATTTTAAAATTTCCAAATTTTCTTTTGAGATTTTTATGCATAAAAATGTTTTATAAAGAAAATCACAAATTTTGAAATTCTTTTAATTTTATGATTTTCCAAAGATTTTTTTTATTCAAAATTTTGAAAAATTTTTTTTTTTCAAACTCTGATCTATACAAATCAACTGGTGACAACAAAATTTTGGTTTTTCCATTAAAATTTTATAAAAACTTAATGTTTAGAATTTGTGCAACCATCCTTCCTTTCTCCTTTTCAAGTTTAATTATGTAATAGAATTCTAGAATATTCGTTGGTTTCTCTAGAACAAATTCACAGGCAAGTTATAAATAGCGTCCCTTAATATAAATGGAATGAAAAACAAACTAGCGGTCCTCTTAAGGATGCTAGAAGAGGAGAAAATAGACATTATTGGTTCAGGAAACCCACTATCCAGGGGAAAACACGGCTAATCTCAATGATTATAAAATTTTTTGCTCGGGCACTACCTCTAATAGTTGGTCCGGGATAGCGTTCCTCAAATAAACGAATGCAGAAACACATCATAAAATTTATACCCATATCGGAAAGATGTGGTCTGCTATACTTGAACACAAATTTCAGGCCTGCAATAATCGCGAACTTCTATGTCCCACCCAATAGAAGTGAAAGATCAGGCTTTATTGATATAATGATAAACAATATTCCATACCAAGCAGATATAACATAATTATTCTAGGCGATCTTAATATGAAGTTTGGTAAAGAAGCAGTTTATATCAGCAGCAATGTCATTAGGAATGCCACTAAAAAACAATCAAATTGTGAAGATAGCAATTAATTCCTTGATTTCTGCAATAAAAAAAATTCCAAAATAGAAAACTCCTTCTTTTGTCACAGTGAAATAAATACCTACACTTTTGTAAGAGCTCGACAGAAATCTCAAAATTGATTTCTTCATATCTAATATTCACCGATGGTTCGATGATATCAAGGCATCAACCAATATAAATCTGTCAGATCATAAAATGATCATAGCAAATATCACCATAAAAAATATATGGAGTTATCACAACGGAAGTATACAAGCTTCAACTGGTTCTAGTGCTTATCCCTTGCGAACAAATATAACACACAAACCCAATAAAATACAATCACCGGAAGATGCAAGACTTTTTGATCAAGTATTAAGAGGGAAAGAAGCTAACTTTTTAAATGTAATCAGACACGAAAATGTAGAAGCATGCTGGAAACTTTTCAAAGAAGATCTTGCAGAATCATATAATGTTTTGCCAAATGTGAGTTTTTTCTCAAGATACGAATGGATGTCTAGTGATACCCTAGAAAAAATAAATCAGCTAAGAATAGAGAACGGCTCAAACAGTGACCTATGGAAGTACATACAAAGACTACTAAGGAGAGATAGACGGATCTACATCGCGAAAAAAGCCTTTGATATTGATAAGGATATGAAAAAGAATAGGATCTACGACGCCTACAAAAAATTAAAATATTTCTGTAAACCTGGTAGTTTTAAAAAACTCCCCTCCATTGTTTTAAGTAACGGGAAAGTAATTATAGATCAAAATGAACAAATAGCTTTAAGGCTTCTACCAGCTAGCTTGAATACAAACCCTGTCCCATCCCCATCTGGCTTCTTCATAAACGAAATTGCTAATGTAATCAAAAAATTACGCAAAAACAAAGCGCCAGAGCTTGATAACATTTCGGCAGAATACATGAAAATTGCACCCGTGACAATATCGTTTTTCTTATTTACCCTCTTCAACAAAATTTGGGAAAGCGGAAATACTCCAGAGGAATGGAACAAATCCTTCCTATGTAATTTCCCAAAGATTAAAAACTCACTAAAA